TTCCAGCCTGGTTTCCTCTCCTGTATGCTGGTATCAGACATGGTTCTGCAGAGAAAACCAAACCCACAGAAAATGGCTCCACATGCCGATGTGTTGCACAGGAACACTCTTGCCACTTGCCAAATGTCCATCACGTTAAAACCTCCCCTTAATTAAAAACAGTGTCTGTGAAACGTGTATTTCCCATGATTACTTGCTGCAGGCAATACAAGAAAGTGAAAGTCACCGTGAGATAAGAAAGGAAGGGCCACATACTCACCTATAAAACTCCACTCACTTATTATGACCCACAGTGCCATTCTGATTTACTGGCACGCTGACATTGGCACAAGACACATTCCAAAAGTGCAACACAAAGAGTAACTCTGCTGCCCTTGTACAGACAGTACAGAGGCCTCAGAGCTGCAACGTGTTTAGCTCTTCCTCCTCCGCTTTTATTTTTCAGTCCTGACAACCCTGATTTGACCACTTTTCTTTACTAGCATCTCTCAGACTGAACATCTGTACAGCCAATGTCACAGCTGTCTGTGTTTTGTTTTATGCTGGCAACATGGTGCAAACTATGGGGGAGCTAGGGGAACATGGTTTGCAAAATTTTGGGGGGCTCCCAATCTAAAATACTGACAATATGTTATTTTGCCATATAGGCTATCAATGTTTTTCAGTATCTTTATAATCACTGATCGTGCATAAAATTAGGCTATTGTTGATTATTACTGATGTATGATTCATACATAAGGGTGATTCAGCACTAATTCATTTTAATAAAGATACCGGCGTGCATGTAATTCTTGCCATCACCACTGAAGCGTGGTGCTGCAGTAAACTTCACTTTAATGACAAATTCAGCAAAGCAATCTCTCTTGATCATGTCAGTTGCTTTAAATCAAAAAAGAAGAAGAAGAAACATTCTTCCCACACAGTCTGCACACAAATCGTCATTTTTCATTTAGGCCACAGCTCATTCGATGCGTCAGAAAGAAAACAAGGCACCTTAGGTTTTGTTTTAAGTGCTACAGTCAGTCCTCTCTTTGTGGCACACGCGACTGGACTTGGTTTTCTTTCTCACACTTGTAAAACAGAAAATAAAATAGGTAACTTAATGTATGAACCATAACACAAAGGTGTACACATTCACAGAGGAGGGTGTACACAGTAAAATGATCTCTCTATATCTCTCTCCTCGCCACCTCCATGCCTCCGTGGTGCTGAAATACGCACGCCACCGGTTACTTTACATCTGGTTTTCTGTTCTTAGTATTAATATTCTCATCAATAGGAATGATGAAAGAAAATCTAAAGTCACATGCTTTATACATGTTCTATCTGTGATTTAGTCTGACCACGAAAAAGTGGGGGTGGGGGGAGTGAGCTCCCCGAAAGCCATGTTATAGTTCGCACACTGGTTGGCAACATCTTTGTTGCTAAGCAGTCGTTGCTGTGGTGATTTTGCACTGCACTTCCCAGAGATCACAAGTCAGTCAAAGAGTGTGGCCAGTACTGTGACATCTTCCTTCTGATGAAAGGAAACTTTAAATTGTCTATTTTTACTTGAATGCTTCACAACCAGTTGCTATTCAGTTTATTCACAAGCACTGGAAACACAGAAGTTCTTCATCAAAGGGCTGAGCAACACTTGCAAAGCTCTGTAGTTTTCAGCTTTATAAACATAAAAAAATCAGAGCAAAAAAAAAAAAAACCCACAATATGATCCAGGGTGTTGCATACAGTGTCACGCGTTGTGAGATGGATATGAGAAAATTGTCTTGACTTAATAACAAATCTTGAAACCTTCTTTTCTATTTCTTCCCGGACAATAATCTCTAACCTCAGAGGGAGTCAGGTTCACCTGTCGACTCATCTACCACCACCTACCCACAATACTCTGCTGGTACTGTATAAGTACTCAGACACACCTCCAGAGTCACCGTCGCCCTCACTGAGTAATTACAGCGATTAATGCATAGAGGGAGCCCGCCTCTCTGGCTCTGGACACTCTATCAAGATGCATACGGTAACGTATGAAAACAGATTCTTAACAGAGAATCCATAGTGTCTAAACCTATGGAAAAAAAACATATACCTTTTTAGATCACAGCTGACTTTACCCACAATCCTCTTGGGGGAAGATCTTTTACCAGCCTAGAAACAAGAGAGAAAGCGGTCAGGTTCTTTTGCCCTTGTCGTTGCGCTCGCGCTGACCTCTAAAAATGGACAACAAAGATCATATCGCGAAACCAATACTAGCACCAACGGCCTTTGCACAAATTGATTTAGCCACCCAGCACTCACTCCCATCTCAATGAGGTGGCAGGATGCTCACAGCATATATCACTGTCACACATGCACCGTCTAGTGAAATGTGATTTTTATCTTTATGAGCTTTTCCCCCCTTTTTCAGTACAGCATGTAGCGGGTCGTGATAAGTGATGAGAAATAAAGGGTTGGCACATTACGCTAATACAGGTGCTGCCGGGCGCATATGGGTGCTATCACATCGGGAGAATGACACTGCTGTGGTCCTGTGAGTTTGAAAGCGGCTGGCCAGGCAGCAGGAGGCCTGTGGTATATGGCTCATAGATCACTACTGTGTGGGTGAGAGTTGTCACCAACCGGCGCCCGGCAGTGAAGCACAACATAGTTTATGGCATACAACCGTTAGACGTAAGCATTAATCGTGGCCCAGGCAACAATAAGGAAAAGCGCACTAAAAATAGATAAGCTTTTTGTGATCGCCCTAGAAACAATGGCTCCTTTTGATTTTTTATGTGTTTAAAGTGTGGTACAAAGGATTAAGGAAGTGCTGTATAATGTCTGACTGGGCCTATAGTAAAAGAACCGGATAAATACAGCTGAGAGGCCCACGCTAACCTGAAATGCACTCTCAGTGAAAGCTGGTAAGACATGATAAATGTTGCACTTTCAAGTGTGTTAAATGCACTAAGATAGTCTGAGCTTTCTCCCTTTCCAACTGACAACCTCTGTTATACAGTTAATTACAGCCAAGTGCAACACAGTGCTATGTCAATTATCATGTGCTTTAGCTCTCTCCCACCGGATATTTTTACTGCTTGGGTTTCACTGCTAAAGTTTCTACCTTCTTTTATTACTATTCAGCCCAGGTCTTGAGGCTGAATTACATTCGGCAGACAGAGCTGTAAAAACAGAAGGGATTTAAGGATTCAGATTGGTGGAGGGTAACCTAATCTTCCGTAATTGGGGGAATGGTTCTCATTTATATCAGCCTACTTTAGAAAGCAAGCTCATCGGCAGGCTGCTATCATCCCAGGCATTTCACTTTGACGAATCATTTTCACAAAAGCCAGGGAAAGGGAGGTCAGCCGACACGTCAGCGAACACACATATTAGACCTAATCATTGTTAATCAAAGCACTATTCTTACTTGACGCATCATGGAAAGCAACACGCACAGCATAAACACTGCACAAATAGTTTTGCCTGAGCTGCCGTGGTGCTGAGTACTGTGGAAAAAAAAAACACATATTGGGCTGCACTGTCTCAAAGTGCAGCTAAAATGGTAATCCTCTGCCAGCAGAATCGTTCTCGCCTCACCAGATGCTTAGTTCTGAAATTTGCCGAATTGCCACGCTCAGATCAATCCCTTTTACTCAGTCAAATGAATCTGCCAAAGTATGTTGCAAGCATTTTACCAGCCTATTATGCTTTCTCTCCCAAAGGTTTGTGTTTCTGTGACTCTCCATGAAGGCCTGACAGAGGTTCTGGTCTCTGTGACATATCTGCACAGTCGGAAGCGTGTCCACCCCTGCTGACCCGTGTGCCCATTAGCTACGTTGTTGCAGTGAGGGCACAGTGCCTATCCATCTCAGCTCCCACACACACGCACACACGCACACACACACACACACACACACAAACACCACACACACAGAGTACACCCACTCTTCATATGGCTCAGACACATGCTGTGGGCGAACTAAATGTGGCCCTTTGATCAAAGGGCAGCGTGTGGGAATGGACACTGACTTACTGACCTCCAAGCACACACATACACTAAATTATTTATACACATACACACACACACACACACACACACTATGTAGACACTGACACGTTGCTGTGTATGCATAGGAAATTGACTTATGATGCACAGTTCTATGGCACAGTAACATGGTTCCTGCTGGCAGATACATACTTTGCAACTAAACACACTGAGACTCTTTCACAATTATTGATACACATGCACATATGTGGCGCAAATGTTCAATGAAAAAGAAATCTCATTTGTGCAGCAGCTGCTGTAGTCATTAGAACTAAGAGCATATTATGAATGACACTCACATATGCTCAGGACATCTTGGCAAAGGTTTGCACCAGGACAAACATCCATCTACGCTTCATATCACATCTGTCCAGATGTTACTGTACATCTCAAATTAGAAATGACTGTTTGATATAAAAGCCCTCATTCCAAAAATAATATAATAAGAGTGACGTCAGAAAAAAAAAGAAAACAAAGACACGTAGGAGAAGTACCTCTGTGTGTGTGTGAAAATAGAAAGTGACGGATGAATCAGAAGTTTAGACAACAGAGAAAACCCTGGTTCCAGCTGCCCGGCTGATGAGCAACTCTGTGCTTGTCAACAACATCCCCTATCATTCTCACACAACTATCTACTCACAAAACCAAGACCCGCCCCCTTCATCCCTTCAGCAATTTCACCATCCTCCAAGAGAAACACCTCCGAAAGCAGAACTGGTTGCTCACGGCAGCAGCGGCAATCTCTTTCCTCCCTTGTCTTTTTCCCCTCCCCTCTTCCCCTTTCCTCTCCTCTCTCTATTTCTGTGCATCCTCTCTCATTCCTTTTTGTCTCCACTTCTTTTTCTCCCTTCCCGCTCTGCCGCCACATTTGGCACGGTGGATGAAAACATGAAAGAGGCAAAGAACATAAAGAGAGAGCGAGAGCGACAAACCAATGTTGGGAAGGCTGGAGAAGCCAAATTAGCATGAGAATACTCACAGTGTTGTTGCTGAAGGAGCACGGGGACGGGAGCGCGGCAACAGTCCCTCCGTCAGATACAACCTGCACACACAAGATTGAAGAGGGGAAAAAAGGAAAACTAGGCTGTGAGAGCGGCAAAGAGAGAGGGGAGAGGAGGAGGAGAGAAGAGCAGAACAAGGAGGAGAAGAAGAAGGGGGAGGAGGGAGCAGAGCATCCAATGCACGCACCAGCAGGAGCCCAAATAAAGAAATAAAGGATTCCTCGAGGAATGTGCGTGCGCGCTTGGCCAGTGACGGCATGTTTGTGTGCGTGTTGTTATGGGGGTGGGGGGCGAGAACGTAGGTTGTCTTTGGGAAATATAAAACACACACACACACACACGAGGTTGAACTCAGGTGCGCGATCACATCTGACAGGTCTGATCTGTGGTCCACCTACCTCCTTATCACTATGCTGTCTCTCTCTCACTCTCACTCAGAGTGTTGCTCACACTGATGCCAGAGATTCAGCCACTACAGGGGAGCTATCGCCCTCATCGCTTTATGTTACTGAAAGAGGGAGGGCACACGGATCTCCCGCCGGCCCAACTCCACCCCCGCCCCTTACCTCCAGCTTCACCTCAAATACACAGAGAAAGAGAACGCTTCAATTGAATGAAACCAATCCCAGTGGCATTGAGGCAATTATAGAGGCTGCTGGCACTGTTTTCTGCCTTTTTCGTCCTCCCCTCCTCTTTCTCATTCTCTCCGTCCTCTCCTGGGCTGCTGGAGAATCTGTTTTCTCTTGCCTTTAGTTTCTTTTGTGCTCCAGACATATGCTACCATTAATGTAGCTTCTGTCACTTCAGCTCACATTTGTCTCTGCTTCCACCTTCTCAGCCCAAAAGTTCCACAAAACCTGAGTCGCAGTTCCAACCTTGCACAACCTGACAGTGCCATTGAACTCCAGCAGCTACTGGGAGGTAAACTATATTAATCTTTCTGGCCTCATAAGGTCTTGCAAGGCTAAAGCAACATGGCACGGCGCAGTGCAACACAACACAAATGATTCAGGAGAAACCACCTTTTACTGTAGGTCTGGGATTTTGATGCATGCTGCTCCTGTATTTACTTTCTTCCTTTTTGAAGATATAGTAGCACCATACATAACCACGAAAAAAAAGAAGCTGTAAGTCAAACACCTCCGCCTCTAATCAGGTAGCTCTCCCTCCTTCCCCTCCGCCCCTGCACATTCCATCCCTCCAGCCACTACTGCACTTTATCTCCCCTCAATTAACATCTTCTGAGCGAGCCTCTATTATCTTAACCACACAGAGCAGAGAGGTCCTCCGTGGAGACGCCGTGGAGGACGGCTGAGCTGTGGACAGAGGGCTCCCAGCCCTGCTGCCACTGCTTCAATTCACAGGCCTAATTAAAGCCCAAGTCAGACATGACAAACTGCTAGAGACGGTGTAACTGAAACAAACACCGACAGAAGCATCGCCTGCGCGGGTGCATGTAGCCCGGAGGATTCTCTTTGTGAGGATTATCTGCCAGAAAACAGCCACATTTACGTCAAACGTCGTGACAACATCATCTAAATCTCTTTTGACTGTCTGTTTGATCATGTTTATTTTCTACCTTCTGTATGGGCATCACCACAGTGTCATAGCATCGACTATAAATCTTTCTCCATATGAAAGAGAGGCAGGGAGACAATGCCGCCTCACTAAAGCTGATACATTTGGTTGACATCGTGTTTATATATGACTAATTTCAGTTTTGTATAATGCCCCCGTGTCCTGTTTCATCTGTTTAGCTACTCTCTCCAACTTCAATTTCACCCAATGAAGCCATCAAACCACCTATTAAGCCATCAAGCTGCCCTCTTTGTCCTTGCTCCCCTGTCTGAAAACAACAGTGAGAGTTGGTGTAGCTTACAACTACACCCTCACAATGGAGGTAGCTTGGCGATTTGGCTGGCTCTGCCACCGACTTTGGCTCTCACGACACTATTAAGAGTATTCCATTACTGGTGGGTTAACCCGTCACGCTTGGCTGTGGCTCTCTTTATTGTCTGGCCACTCTGAAAGGGCAGGGGATAAAACTCCATCAGTGGGACAAACGACCACATATGCCATCACTCATCAGATGCCTAGGGTCTCCCACCATGGACACCAGCCACTGAAAACTCACTGACACTGCAGAGGCAGCCTGTGCTCCTCCTTAAAATGTTATCTCCCAGTACTACGTAGCCATGGATGGACATAGAGGTGCCTTTGATTACATAAGACTTCCCTTCTTAAGCATGACACAGGGAAAAGCAGTTCTATCAGGGCTGAAGGAGCTAATGTATTGACTAAGATCAGATTGTGCAGCAGGCGGTGTGGAGAAGTGATTAAGAAAGCAGGCTAGTGATCAACAGATGACAGGGGTCAATCCCCTCTTGTGCAGCTGGGTAGTGGCCTTGGGCTACGCACTGTACTTAGCTCCAACACACTAGCTAGACACTCAACTGTGTGAGTGGATAAAATGTCAAATTCAACTTCACCCTTTGCAGCAGTTCAAAGCAAGCAGATGACAGCGAATGCTTTGGTTATTAAAAAATTCATATCGTAATGAAACAGCCGTGTTCCATCTTCACAAATGCCCCTCCAGCAAACCCGGCGCTCCTTTTTTCATAGGATCCATCAAGGGAGGGCCACAATTAAGTGACTAATTTGATTAGGAGATAATGTGAGTCCCACTTAATGGAAAGGACAGACTTCACAACACAGGCAGATTAGTTTGGTGGATGCCTGCTTATTAATTAAGACAGCCCTGTGTGCCCGTATTTAGTCAAATGCACAGATGCAGTTTTAATGGGTCAGGGCATGCCACAAGTAAGACAAATGCAAAGTGGTACTGCATGTAAAAAAAAAGGTTAGTAAGCTTGATAATGAAAACTGAAAATGACCATTAAATGTTTTAATTAAACTTGTTGTACACTTTAAAAATGTATAGGCTTACACTATTCACCCATTCATAACAATGTCATAGATAACGGGGCTTGTTTTATTTTCTCATCAGGAATTTCAGTGTGCGCTGTGCTGCATCTGTGATCTCACTATGTGTCATTGCACACCATAGCAACAGCGAGTTGTTAAACTGAAATTATCTGTTTTGCTGCCATTCGGTTCTTGTCTCCGATACTACAGAGGCCCTTCAGAAGAACTCCTGCTTTTCATTTATGATTTCATCTGCAGGCTACAACCACCGCTACAACGTGTGCTCAATCTTTTTGAAAATGCAGTGCTAACATACAATGAATGATTTATTAATAAAGTAATTTAATGTTTGAGTAAAAAGCAAACAAATGGGGTCAATTTTCACTTCTGTAAACTATGATTAGGGCTGAATTTTTGCCTTGACTGAGTAGCTTAAACATAACGGATGACACATGTAGACATCAGAGTTCCTGTGTGAGCAACTCTGTACCAAAGTAATTTTCTTTCTGCCATCTCATATGATATTTCTTTCCTGAAGTCCAACAGATTTTGTTTGTATCTTATGTTCTGCATGCCCCAGCGGTTGCCCACTGCACACTGACAATCAGTCAGACAGATCTCCAGTACGGTGATTTCGGAGTTCCCA